GGCACATACCTTGAAGAAAAGGAGATCGTTGGCCTGGTCCTCCACGGTCTGGAACGGCACCCCCACCATCACGCCCGTCCCCACTTGGAAGCCGATTCTCTGCAGTTCTTCCAGGCATTTGCGACGTGCCTGGAAAGAGTGGGAGGCAGGGTGGAGCCTGGTGTACAAAGTAGGATTGCTGGTTTCGATCCGCAACAGGTAGCGGGAGGCCCCTGCCTCCAAGAAGGCCTGGTAGACTGACGACGGGAGCTCACCCAAGGAGAGGGCGACGGCGAGACCGCGCTGGGAAGGAAAGTCACGCTGGTTTGGACCGGCTGAGGGAAAGGGGGGAGACTCGCATGCCAGGTCCATTGTGCGCCGTCGTATGGCCCGCACCACATCTAGCATAAAGCTGGGGTGGGTGGGGTGGAACCCATGTCAGGGCGGCATGATTTACGCCTAGAATCTCGCTTGGACCTTCTCATCATCGCCGCGGCCTTGTCCCACTGGGTACCCGCTCCCGTCGTACTCACTTGATTCTCTCAGGGGAAGGCAGCTCTCCCGATTGCAGCATCAGTGTGCCCATTCCCTGAGAATAGGCAAATTCCGCACAGGCCAAAATCTCCTCTTTTGTCATCGTGTAGCGGTGTACCTTCTGCGGGTGATCCGTGGCCAGGGAGAGCGTGAGGAAGGATCGGGGGAGGAACGCTGGGCCGAAGACAGGTTGCAATCCCCATGTCTCCAATGCGTCCGCCTCTCCTGTTCCATGATAGGGCCGACCCTTACCGTGTGCTTGCGAATACCGCAGTAAAAGCAATCCTTGGTGCAGACGTTGCTAAATTCGACGATGCCTCGGGCGTACACTTTGGTGCCGAAATATGCCGCTGCGAACAGACAGGACAAAAGTGGGGACGAGAGATGTGAAAGTGATGGATTCACAACGATTTGGTTCATACCCATAACTTAATTTTTCAAGTCTGCGATAATTTGTGAATGGATCCCGTGAACGTGCTATTATGAAGGCTTTTAGCCTAGAACTCGACTGAATTGAGCTTTCACCCTATCCTCACGGGTTTGCGCCTTCCGGTTTAAGAAAATTTCAGTACATATTTGAAAAACACAAATAGAACATCGCAAGAACGTACTCGTCGCAGCCTCAGCCACAGCGTACATGGACTTGATTAAAGTCCTATCATTCGTTGTCAAGAGTTCTGTCAACTGCCGCCTAGAGATGTCCAGCTTTTGTCCTGTGTCCAAACGATCGAGGCCAAGGAAGTCCTTCAAGGGTGACCAAAGAGGCTCAGCACCCCCTCTCGCAGTGCCTTTGTCGCTGGCATAGCGTATTGTGACTGACAGTGGTCGTTGGCGGCCCAAGGCGCGAGGGCAGGCGCATGTCCAAAAGTGTCGGGCTCGAAGGATCTGTTTGGTATGGAAACCTAGGCAGCTGCCACAGACCGAAAGCACCGCCACGTTTGCAGGAAAATAATGCAGTGTTCGGGGTAGAAGCATGCCGTTGCCTGGCGTGAGTGATTGTTGCATGTGTGAGAATGCGAAAGTGACTTTGAAGACCTGGTTCAGTTCTTCCTGACAAAGTTGAAGCAGAAGGAGAGACGCAATTCAAGAAGCGTTTGTTCCGCTTTCAAGCGAGACAGCCACGCGTTTTCCCTCTCATCTTTCCTACGGCCTCTCATTCAGGATAGTTGAGCGTGTGCCGGTCCCTGCTATGATGCTGTGGCGGGCGTCTGGCCGGCTTTGTCCTCGAAGTCTCTTTACGACCCCGACGGCTGCGTCCCGGGGAGGTAAGTTGCCATCCAGACACCACCAGCAACGCTGGCTGGCTCAATGGTCAATCGAGACTGAACACCACCATAAATATGAGGACCCTGCCAAAATCATCGACGAAGGTCTGATCAATCGCTTGTTGGAGGAGACAAAAGACAAGGTGGGTTGAAGACGGAGGACGACTGCGGGCAGATGCTCCACATGTATATGCCCCAACAAATTCACGACGCACATGCCCACTAACATTGTGCGTGCAAACGCCCGACAAATACCAGGCAAAAGATGCCGCATGCGTCAAAGCTATTCTGGTGGCTGCTCAAGAAAGGGCCCGGCTTCAGGCCATGCCCCCAGGGCACCCTACCGCAGACCCGCCCCAGAATGAATTTGTTCAAGGACTCACCCTGGAGGAGGCAGCTACACTCTTAAACGTCGATTCGGGGAACAAAGACATAATGCAGCTTTTGTATGATGCTGCCTTGAATGTGAAGCAACAGATTTACGGTAGGATCTTAAGAACACATGATTGAAGCAGAAGCTAGGGGAAATTCGGTCCTTGTGGTAGATCGTTGCAGGCTTTTTTCGGATGAATTTTCTGACCTATTTCATGTGTTTTTCAACAGGCAACCGTATTGTGCTCTTTGCACCTGTTTACTTGGCCAACTGGTGTGTAAATACGTGCCAGTACTGTGCCTTCCGAGGGGCCAATAAGCAGATGCAGCGAAGCATGCTCACCATGGACGAGTTGCGGTAGGTTTGCTGGAGAAATGCCTGAAGACTCGAGCCTTTTTTAGCGACAATTGCTTCGATGTGTGACTGTGTCTGGGAGAAGAATAATTCTGATTTTACGTGTGTGACAGCAAGGTACATGGGCATAGATGGCGCCCTGGGTGTGTGACGGCGCGAAGGGCAGTGGTTTGAGGTTTGTACGTTGATGATCCGGATTACGTTATAAGTGGCGCGCAAGTAGTGTAGGAACCCGGATGAAGTTGGTGTGTCTGAAAGAGCTCAATCACGAGGATTGTCCCCTGCCCTCCCAGACAAGAAGTGGAAGCCTTGGAGGCGATCGGACACAAACGATTGCTGCTTCTGACCGGCGAGCACCCCAAGTATTCGTTTGACCGGTTTCTCGAGGCAGTCCAAGTGGTACGTACACTTCCAATAGATCATTGGAGGCGTCAGTAGGGGAGGGAAAGACTGCTGCTGCTTCCAACAAGCCTTCGTGTTTGAAGTTGACCGTATCGCACAGCCTCATCCCCATCGAGGAGGAGATTTTCACCGTGTCTCAGCCCCGTTTATCGCCCACCTGACACTGATTCTCCATCCCAGGTTGGCACCGTCAAGACCCCTAATCCGTGTGGGGAGATTCGGCGGATCAACGTGGAGATTCCCTCCCTCTCCGTCTCCGACATGCGACGCCTCAAGGCTACTCAATACATTGGTACCCTTCTTTAGTGGTCATTTTATTTTTCCAATTTCACACATGCTGTTGTTTGAGTGTCATACGAGAGTCCATATCCTTGCCTTGGAGGCGATTTAAGATAAGCGCCCACATAAATGGCATTTCCACAGGTACCTACACGCTCTTCCAGGAAACCTACCACCGTGACACTTTTCGGAAAATGCATCCCGGTGGACCCAAGAGCGATTACAACCACAGGTAAGTCGTGCCAGCCGCCATAAGCTAGGGGAGGGTACGTAAGTGAGACAGAAGAGACGCGGAGGAAGTCGTCCTTGGCGAGATCTTCTTGTCCTGAATCACGCTCACCAACACACATCACGGCCCAGGATCCTGACCATGGACCGGGCACAGTTGGGTGGCCTGGATGACGTGGGAATCGGGGCGCTCTTCGGCTTGGCCGGTAAGGAAAGGAGGGGCCCGGTGATGGGAACTGATCTGGCTCCGCGACGTCTGTAATGGGTTGGGGCACAAATCTATTTATCTTCAGGGAGGTAGAAGGGACTTCTCACGTTCTTTTGGCCGGAGGCTCTCTCCCATGTATCGATCGCTTCCATCTTGTTCTTTTTTCGGGGTCGTAACGAAAGGGACTGTCCTCGCACAACCCTTTATGTCTCTCAGAGTCCTTCTGCGACGTCTCTGTCTCCCATACAAAGGACCCGGCGCGATCTCATTGTTCCTCCCTGCCTTTCACACTCCTTCCCTCTGCCACCAGACTACCGATTCGAGGTGTTGGGCCTCCTCATGCATGCCCACCACCTCGATCGCACCTACGGCACGGGACCCCACACTATCTCTATCCCCCGCATGCAGCCGGCCCTGAACGCCCCGGCAGCGGAGCACATCCCCCTGCCGGTTCACGACGACGATTTTAAGAAATTGGTGGCTGTCATTCGGTGTGCGGTTCCCTACACGGGTAAGAAAGGCTTCTATGTGGAGGAATGGTGGAGTAAAAATGATCTTTGGAAAGATTGCAAGCTGGACGGTCGTATCGCTGATGACAGTTGTGATCTGCTCACTTTCTTGACCCTTTCCCTTCCTCCATCCCCTCCCTCCTACCCTTCGCGGGTTGTCTGCAGGCATGATCCTATCCACCCGGGAGTCAGCTCAGATACGTCGGGAGCTTTTACGCTTGGGCATCTCTCAAATCAGCGCCGGGTCACGCACAGACGTGGGGGCCTATCACCGCGATACCTCTTGCGACGCCGCCCCCTTCATTAGCAACACCGCCGGGACGAGCGGCAACGGATACAGGGCAGGGCGGCCGGCCAAGTCGCAACTACCTCCTCCTGCCACTCTGGATGCATCGCGCAAGGAAGAGGAGGAAGACACGGAGGAATATAAATTGAGACGTGGACAATTCTGTTTACAGGTGCGGCACTGGGTGTGTGCGTGTATGGATTGGATATAAGAAGCAGGATGCAAGTTCGGCTGCTGTCATTCCATTTTCCCGGCTGTTTTTAATGTCTCTAGGTGGCCCTGCTCCCTTGTGTCTGTTGACTTATCTATTCACCCCGACGTCTCATTCTTTCCCCGCTCTCTAGGATCATCGTCCTCTCGACACGGTCATTAAAGACCTGCTTCACGACGGATTCATCCCCTCCTTTTGCACGGCTTGTTATCGGAAGGGGCGCACCGGGGCAGCATTTATGAAAATCGCAAAGAGTGGGCGCATTCAGGACTTTTGCCAGCCGAATGCTTTACTCAGTCTGCAGGAGTACATGGAGGTATGACTTTGCTCTGTGTTTCTCTTTGGTTCAGGAGAAGGGGTAAAATTTCATTGGCGGACACAAAACCCTTGTCGCATGATATTGTCTTGACTATCCTCTTATCTTTCAGCTGACTTCCTCCCTCATCATTGTTCCTCTCCTTCCGCATGGCACCCGCACTTTTCTTGCCAGGATTATGCCAGTCCTCAAACCAAGGCGATAGGCGCAGAAGTCATACATCGCGAGAGTCAGCTCATGAGCGACAACGCCAAGCGTGCGTACGACAGGAAACGCCGGCAGCTTTTGGAGGGGAAGCGAGACCTTTATTTTTGAGGCGTGGTCGTAGCGATGGCATGTGTCATTGATATAGACGAGAAGATCAGTAGGCGTATTGTACAGAAGAAAGGGGTGATATTTGGGAGAGATAACCAGACACAGAATTGAATGACAAGCACACGTGATGGACAGCGTGAAAAATTGCTCCAAGTGCTTTATTGAAAGCTTTGTTTGTTTCTGCACCAAGGCCCGTGCAGAATCCGCTTGCTACGTGGTTTGTTTTCTAAAATCATTCATTCTTTTCAAAATCTTGCCCCAATAAAGCAGATGCAACATATCGTTCAGCCTCTTTCCCGAGGTCTTATGCTCAAATCATGTTGTTTGCTCGGACCGGTCTGCGTAATGTGTATGCAACAATGCATGGCTCCGGGCACTTCCCGGCCTTCCCATTTCGCTTTCGTAGAGTTTCTGGATGCTGGGGTTGTCATGGCTTTTCCTCAGCGCGCTCTTCTCGTCCAAATTGTACACGTGTGCCATCCTTTTCTGCAGGACCAAGGCGTCGTCGCTCTTGCTCTGCCCACCTCCCCCAATGCAGCCTCCCCGGCAAGCCATCACCTCCACAAAATCGAATTGAGCGGCTGGATCCCCCAGCTTCATTCTTTCCAACAATGCCCGTGTCTCCGCGGTTCCATGCACGACACCAACACGTACCACCGCCCCTGGTCCTTTCCCATCCGGATTGGGGATGCAAACCCGGGAGGATTTGACCCCTTGCAATCCCCGAATGTCGCTCATTTCCATCTTTGGGAGTTCTTGTCCCCCCGAGGCCAATTCATAAGCCGTCCTCAACGCCGCTTCCATCACCCCGCCGGTCGCGCCGAAAAGGACCGCCGCACCCGTGCTCTCTCCCAAGGGGTCATCGGGCACTTGCGCATCCAAGGCAGGCAGCGCTATTTTCCGCAGGCGAAACAAGCGCCCGATTTCCCGCGTGGTCAAGACGTAGTCATTGTTGGGCACGGGACCGTCGATCTTGGATGAGTAGGTGGCCCCCCTGTCGGCCGGGCGGTGGGCTTCCCCTTTCTTCGCCGTGCACGGCATGACGCTGACCGAGACCACGTCCGCCGGGTCTCGCTCCAAGCGCGGCGCCCATACATTCTTGATCAAAGCGCCCATCATCCCCTGCGGTGACTTGCAGCTGGAGAGGTGAGGGATCAACTCCGGGTAGTTTTTTTCGACCAGGTTGATCCAACCCGGGCAACAAGAAGTGAACATCGGAAGGGGCCCTGCCCCCGGGTCTTTCCGCAGCCGCGACAGGAGCTCTGTGCCTTCCTCCATGATGGTCAAGTCAGCGGAAAAATTCGTGTCGAAGACATAGTCGAAGCCCAAGAGTTTCAAGCCCGCGACAATTTGCCCCATGGAGACGCGCCCGGGCGGCAGGCCGAATTCCTCGCTCATGGCCACGCGTACGGAGGGGGCCACGGCCGCGACTTTCACCCGGCTTTGATCCTCCAAGGCGTCTATCACCTGGAAGAGCTCGTGTCGCTCCCGCATGGCCCCCGTGGGGCAAACGGCGGCGCACTGGAGGGGGGCGGAAAGGAGAAGCGGTACGCGGGTCTGTGGGCAACTGGACGGCGCGTGCTCCGAAGTTCCCTTCGGGACGCTCCCCTTCGGGACGCTCCCCTCGGGTCATGTCCCCGGAGAGAAGATCCACGACCCA